ACAACTGAGGTTTGGGCGGATGCGTGGCCTAAAACCTGCTTGCTATCCAGATATCATGTAAATACCGCGAGCTGGTTGTGCACAATAGGCAAAGGAAAAATGTGCACCTAAAAAGCATTCTCAATTTTTTGGAAGTTCGTGCTCGATAGAGATCACCTGTTGAAAGATGAAAATTAGGCTTGGTCCCTCTAGTTAAACCCTACAGTCGGAGGGTTTTCACTTCATTGACAGAATGAACAAATGGCACATTGTAAAATCAAATAGAACCTGTATGATAACAGCTATGACGGTTTTCAGAAACCGTAATCATTTCATATTCCATCAGCATCTCAAAAAATCATTCTACCAGTAGATGTCTCAATCTAGTCCAAAACACCCAGGTCCTTGATTATGTGGCTATCAGCCTATTCGCCCAGCCTGGAATTTTACTTGCAGTTCAAGAGGTCTTCTGATCAACAGCCAAATAAATAATCGCCCTAGTAACCAACATTTTGACACATTGCTTGTCCATAAACGGTACCTACTTGTTCTCCCATTGTCTATTCACTGATTTTTGTGCACGTGTACAATGCCCACAACTCAACACATGTCATGTAGCAAGCACTATTGTTCATTTGGAAACAATATTTCCACACCCAGTTCCATCTTATATATTCTATTGTGATGCCATGGAGAATAAGTAACAATTTACCTGAAAGATATAGGGATCAGTTTGGATTCAAGTCGCCCTGTTTTGAACAGTCCCCTTCCTGTTCTGGAGTGACTATTCTGATGAGACTATACCAAAGAGGGGCGATACTGGACTCAATGTTTGTTGATTGATGGGCCATTGTTTCAAATTCGTTTTTGCTAACTGCAACAGTCAAGCGGTATCGAAATGCTGATAACAGTCGGCATACGTATGCTTCCTAAAAGGACTGAGGGTCATCTATAAGGCAAATCAAGTGTCAGACTATTGTATCGGTCCATCTCTTCCCAAAACCTACCTCGGTGAAGCCCATGAGAACAAACTCTTAGAAGCACGCTTGTTGCCATGACTACGTTTAAGCGGGTTGCGGTCACTTATTTAACAGAGTGTTATCCATCTTGTCGCTACTTGTGCGTTGGGTTGCACATATGACTAGGAAAAAAATGGTACCGTCCATCAAGGGGTGTACATAGCAATGCTCACCGCAATATACTTCCGTCGTTGACTTTTGTTTAGGACAACGCGCTCTAGAAATTTATTGAAAAATTCGACTAATTAAAGGTAAGGCTTCCACCACAGAACTTGTTTACAGTGTCCTCGCTTTTGCATGATTTTTTACCCGGGCAAAAGGGCTTATTTGGGCAGACCTCAGCCATCTTTGTAGCCACTGCTTAAGTGGGTATAGCTGTCTCTGAGATCAACAAAGAGAAAAAAGTAATATATCTCTCGTATTTGAGTTGTTTTACTGTTTAACAAGTTCAAGATTGGTGATAAATGAAGATAAGACACATCTGCTGCTTTCGGTAATACATTTTAAACGAAAGGAGACTTTGCTTTCATGGTAAAATCGAAGGTGCTGAACTAAAAACTTGGAGAAAATTGCTCTCTTCTGAGATATAGCTTCATTTGTTAAAAAAACGACCAGTAAAACAGAACTTTGTAAGATTAAACGTAGCTGGAACTTCCAAAGAATGACCTTTGGAAGAGGTCATCCAGAGGATGACCTCTATGGATAGCTTCCCCTGCATAAATACAGTTGCTGAATTTTGGTAAAGCAGATGTAGCAAAACGTAGTGAAAACAGTGAAATATGAAGAGTTCAAGGACGATTGATTCGTTGTCATATACATAACACTTGCCCGATAAAATTCCCTTCCCAATTTGTCCGACTCCGCAACGATTGTACGCCAATTTGGATGGAGTTCTCACTTTTGGAAGTCCCACTTCCAACGGTGTACCCCGCTTCGCTGTCATGATTTAGTCTTTCCTGTGCCGTATATTAAGACTTCTTATGAAAAGAAAATGACGGCGGATCCAACCAAACCTGGTTAATATGAGTTCTTTCGACAACAACGTTACCACATGACTCAGTACAATCCTGTTTCCCTGTGAATGAACCACCATCACTTAAGCACCTGGGTTCAAGTAAAACACAAAGGTAGTAAAATCGCAGGACTGCGTCTACCCGTTGAGCCTCAAAAAGGCCAAAACTGGTCATTGGCTGTCAAAAAGTTGTCAGCAGTATCTCTAACAAAATATACTGCGATATCTCGCATACCGTATTAGCTGAAACTTGGAGCAGCCTTTGTTCAGAACATTCGTTTGAAGAATAACATAAACGAGATTCATGTTGGAATCAGCACAAATGACTGAATTTCGCAAAGTTCCTTTAGTTTACGTTTAAGTAAAACATAAGGTTGACGGAAATTCGGTTACTATTCCTGTTTAGTCAACAATGGAGCGAAACCTGTCGCATATTGTCGGAGGTTTTCAGCGTCCTAATGAGCGGTGTTCCTCCCATGTCTCTACTTATTGAATGTCCACGGGAAGTTAGGATTAATGTTATCTTGTCTTAGTAAGAGAAATTCATTCTGCTGATCCGCCGCTCACAGCCAAGCAGTTGCATTCAACCTACTAGATGGGAGTACGTGAGTTCGGGACCGCCGTGGAGTTTCATGAGGTGCGCATTGCCGAGGATTCCCAGAAGAAATGAGAGAGTCATGCGGGACTTCCTAGATTTTCTGCCTGGACTGGTACCACTCGCAGAAAAAATCTCAATTCAGAATTTTCAGTTTTCCTTGCACTGCCGAGAGAATAAAAGGGGTTCTATTCAGTGAAATCAGTCCCGCAAAATCAATCCTAACGCGCAACACCAAACATCGCTGCGTTTGGCCTAACTGTGCTGTAGATCGGCCACTTGAATATACATCAAGTTTCTTCGACAAATGCAATGCTTGGCTTTCATTAGTCACGGGTCTACCCTAAAAATGGATTTTGGTTTAAACTTTAAAGTCCGTTCAATCCTGACAGAAATGTTTGTACATTAGCAGGCACACTTTGGTTATTAGCCAGCAACTTTTGCTTACAGACTTATCGATCCGATCTAGCCGTGAAATGCAAAAACGGATTAAAATGGGGTGCAGTTTCTCGTAACACGGAGATTGTAATACTCTAGCGAGTGTCAGATCATGAGCCCGAACTTCCGTCGCTTGCATCGTATACGGGTCGCGCATTCACTTCCAATGCTCACTCGTAGCTGAGCCTTCACTCTCGTGACACAGCAACAAAAAAACAAAATCGTCTACTGTAACATCCTTTCGGTTTGCAGCCCCGGAAAGAGGCTTAGGGACTAAGATACTGCCTGAATTTCCAGGCCTAGAATGGAGTATTCGAGGTGCCGAGGTTGAGCTCAAACTACGGACGTTTCGTTCAGCACCTTCGCACCTTAACCAGTGAGCCATCTCGAGCTCAAAAGATAAAGTCGAATAAAAAGGAACGGTGTCCCTCAGTGGTGGTACTAATCATATGGTTCACAAATCTGGTTGTGTGACCAGAATCACTTAAACGTTGCCTTATTTTCTGAGATGTGGAGCGCGTCATCGGATTTAGAACCGCCAGATAAACTGTATACGTAACCATCTAGGTATCGTGAAGCTGTACCATACCCTTGGCAACAAAGCTCATCAAACGAGTCGCGATGCACTTTGCCTTTACGTTTAGTGCCTTGAATGTTTTTAGCACACTCAAAAATAGCTTATTGGGGTTGATCGAGGAGTGATATAAAGGCAATCACAACTGCAATGGAGTAACATCCGGTGAAATGACGAGTAGATAACGTCAGAGACAATCGTTTTGAATTGGTGGGTTAGCCCTCTACGTGATCCACTTCGATTAGGCTGTACGCCCCATCTTTACAACCACTGTATACGTCTCTTCAGATAGAAAAGCATAAATTATCCTCTAATTCACCCTGCTTTTAATGTGAACACTTACGTATGTCTGTTGGCCAAACACTGACTATTCCCATCTTTTGATGCGTCACAAAATCTTTTGATCCATCGATAATTCACAGCGGTATTCACAGTTGCAGTAAATTTATTAACTGAAATCCACTAATAATGTAACTTATACGGACTATGGTATTAACAGGGATAATACTAGCCCATCGTACAGTACAGCACAAGCTTCTGTGGCATGCTACATTTCCTAGAATCGCGTACGGTAGGGGACAGCTTTGTTGACAGAATCGTTTCCGTTTTTCCGGTTTGAGAGACATATTTGGAATTAAAATGTCTGCCCAAGGGTTTTGACTGAGGAATCCGTAAGACACAATGATGAATTAAGGCCCGAACTTTCTTTAGATAGAGTTATGGTAAATCTTTTAGTTCGTCGTGTGAATGGGTGGAGACCTTCCTGGACAATCAGCGCGGCTTGTAGCCACGCGTCCTACAGTTTATCCGAAGCCACCGCGTCAATCCTTTCTGTTTTGAAACCAAATTACAGTCAGCTCAGACTGACACATCCAATGGTTCTCGAACGTAGCCACAAGGCCACAATATTCTGTTTAAGGGATAATCATTTGTCAGGGATGATACCGAACCTGTGAAACTCCCACCTCCAATGATGGCTTCAAAAATTAATGGTATTTACTAACTGTATTTGGCTTCAGTGCTTTTGCAGCCAATTTTCTCCCACCCGAAAAAAGTGAGGGCGCTAATTCGCTCAAAGCTTCCGCATCTAAGAGAGGTTGTAATTCTTTGATTGACGCAAATTGCCAAAGTATCTTCGTTTGACTGAATTTCTATAAAGCTCTCCCAAGTCTGTCTATCATCCTAATTAAAATCTGGATAATGATGAAGTTACTGTACGAATCTCTTAACAGTAGTGTATGAAGCTTAAACGTTCCCTCGGCTGCTGTTACTTGAGCATACTAAGTAGCCTCCAGTTAATGCGACTGCTTGAAACGGTGAAAAAGCGGTGCACACCTCAAAATTCGGGCTTAATTCGGAGGACGTTTTGAAGATTAAACTCACCTTTGTCCGAATCCTCGACGTGTTCAGGCTTCGTCACTTCGGTTTCACCTCCACCCATGATCGGGACTTTAGATCGCTTGATTCTATCCTGTTCTTCCGTTGACCTGGTTGAACGAATGTCCCACGTTTAAATGTCTCATCAAGATAACACAATCGTCCAAAGTGTTTGCGACTCACACGTACGCACCATTCACCTCAACCTTCACCATGACAACAGAAGGGAAACAATTGTTTCTACATGAAAATGATGAATTTCGATTTGTTACCTGATGCCACAGCCAACCAACCAACTAACGTCCTCAATCGAATTCCGAAAACCTATTGTTTCTGAATAACTGCTAAACAATAGGAGGGAGGACAGTGTTATTGTTTGTTTCTTTGAAAAATTATTTAGAGTAACTTATGAACGACATTTTGTGTTCTCACCTTTGTCTTTCGGGCAGTCCATTCTCTCATCCGGAGCGATTGTTCTGGTGCGTCCACACCAGGACTCAAATCTCGCTCCTATTAAAGTTCTTCAGTAGTGTTGCACTGGTTCGCGATGCGAATTTTACCACTATTTCCCCGTGCATGTTGGTTGCATGTGATCGGTCACATCTGAACCGGGAAAACTGTTCGCAATTTGGCATTATGATTAGTTTGCCTGTTACAATAACCCAATACCCCATCCTGATGGTTTCGGTCCTTAGCAAGACGACTGTCTTCTAATTGTTGCATCTGCTCCCAACCATGGAAGATGTGTTCCTTTTGGCTTTGTAAAGTGTCTGTTTCCCACCACCATATTACTCTGCAATACAATCTGCGTCACTTTGTTTATCTCAGTTAAGTCGGAAATCAAAACGAATACGAGACGCATAATTTCTGACTCACTGGTCGGTAAATCCCGCTGAACAGCAGAAGTCTTCATGTATGGAGGATCAGGTTTTCACGTCGTTCATCCTGTAAGCTTTGACAAACAAGCAACTTAGTGTGTCTACGGGACAAAATCCAACAAACAGACGCTTGGACTTGCATTTTCTCACCAATGGAATTAGCATTATTTTCACTTCTGATCTTACCGGCTACCACATTTTCTGTGTTGGTCCATCACGGCCAATAAAAATGTCTTTTGAACCCTACAAGAAAGTTATCTTTCTTTGCAGTGCCCTGAAGTATTTAATAGTTACCGAATTTCGGGCGGTTGTAACCAGATAACAACGATTCCAATGGTCGAGCGGAATAGATACAAATTATCGAAAAATGAATCTAACCGCATTTGCCAAAGTTTCAAGACCTTCAGACTGGGTAGCGTGAACACATCCTGCGGTATTGGTAGTAGTAGTATTACCTTCAAGAAATCAACCTCTAGAAGGCTATCGCTGATCAAATTTGGGGGATCATCTTCTCCAGACAGGAGAAATCGACCGTAAGGGCCGGGTAATAAGGAACGAACCTCATAATTTGATAACATTGCAATCACACAGTGCGGCTTGTGAATTACTGGTAAACCCCTCCTTTATGGAATTTGTACTTTTCCTAGCTCTTTCTCGCGTAAATATCGTACTCGGCCTTCACGGATACCATCAGTGTAGCGCAATTTCTTTATGAAGTCACCATTTCGCTAACTGGAGTCGCACAAGTGACCTTAATTCAGGTTCACCCTTCTGCACAAACTCATTGTGGCTATTTTTATAATGCTGTGGAAACTGTAAAGCCAGTGCTGTTCACATTTGTTTTAAGTCTTCATAATTGCTTCCAATGTTTCACTCTGGATGATGATATTGTCAAGCATGATGTAGCAACATCAGGAGGTAGTGTGGCTCCAATTCAGGCGTCACAGCGATCCTAATTTCCCGAGAGCGTACCGTGTCTCCATCTCTGGAGGAAGCGATTTTCAGATGAGGCTCCTTACGTACCTCAAAAGCCATGCTCCATTAGAAACCCTCCTTTAGAAGGGGACTAACCCGCAAGAGAAACCCCTTCCAGTAGGTCTTCCGAGATATAGAAATGCACACCTATGTCCTTTTGAAAAGACAGAAATCGCCAATCCCTAATTTAAGCCTGCAAAGGCTCAATGAAGGCGGCTCCTTTTGGGAGGAACCTGAATCAAACTAGACCTGCCACAGCCAGTATCATCAGTACGGGTCGAGAACCGTGCAGAAGCTGTGTGCCATGCAGACAAAAATCATTTAATGACACTCCAAATCACTCATGTGGAGCAAGGAGGTGCCCATAGCTTTATTCAGACACCAAGCCGATGTGAAAATAGAAACGGTGGGCTGTGCGAATATTGTGTCTCAGGATTATTCAGATGGATCCTTATTGAGAGGTTAATAGGTGGTGCAAGACCTCTTTCACGGGATTGCAGTTTAACGGTCAAAATTGGGTGAGGGTGACGATTCGTTGGGGCGCTACCGCATATTTCCTACTGTGAACATTCGTGAACAACTAGCTGTCAGTTTTGTTGATCTAAACGCAGGTTTGTATAGCCGCCCGCACAACTCCGAGCAAGGCATCATCGTGTTCACTTGCGCTTTCGCCTAATAGTCTGAATCTGTGGATGATAGTCCCTAACAAGTTGCAAAAAGATTGCTTATTGATAGTAGTTTGAAGAGACTGTGCAATTTTCAGTTGCGATTTCACCCTGTACGAGAAGCCTAATCTATTCTGAAAGGCCTAGAAGCACTGTACAGCTGTTCTGTTCTTACTGGGATTCGTCAGGGTTGCGCATCCAAAGAAACTCTGGGGTGTTTCGAACCGTCCACCTACCGGCTAGTAGTTTAAACACTCAGCCTTTCGGCCACGAGCGATTGCTCGTGTAAATTAAGGATACTGCTGATCACTCATCGGTGGATGTTGCCAGACTACTCGCCGGTGGGTCACGTGTTCAAAACACCTTGGGTTTTCGTGAGATTAACGTTGGTGATTATTCTTTGTGAAAATGAAACAGCTGCGCAGTTTTTCCAGCTTTTCAGCATAAACACTCAACCGTTCGGCCACGAGCGACTGCTCGTGATCACCCATCATGAACTACTTGCCGGTTGTCACGTGTTCAAAACAGCCTGTATTTTCGTGAGATGCTCAATGATGGTTATTCCAAATAAAAATGAAACAACTGGACAATTTTTTCGGCTTTTCACCATAAATCAGCTGAAATCGGGTGCAGTCTCCATTGAAAACTGTATATTGACATGTGCCACTGCCAAAATACGGTTAGTTGTGAACAAATATCTTATTGCCTGAAAACGTGCCATTCTTCTACTAGTTTATCAGCTATTAATTTGGCGACTGAAGGTTATAATAAGGCACTTATGATTGCATGGTTTTCCATTATATCATAAACTAATCCATACTAGTTGACGCTGGATACGGTAGGTTGAAAAGAACACCATCCGCTTTGTCTAGCAACGGATAATGCCCACGAGATTGTTATTTACGAGCGCTCAGTTAGCCGAAAATTCTGTCGATTTGTAGTGATACCCTCGACTGACATAGTGCTACGTTCCTGAAAGATAAATCTGCCATTTGGTATTGTGTTGACGTATTGGTAGTTTGGGTGGGTTTGCTCGTTTTTGATCAGGTGGCTTTCGACCTTTTCGCCGAGCTTGACAATTGATTTGCAAACACTTCGTCACTATACGGATGAGCATTACCACTCCGCAGCTGGGTTTGTACTACCTTCTTGCCTGCAAACGCTTACATTGCCTTTGAAGATTATCCGTTGCTCCTTAAGGTGATTGGCTGATTGAGATACTGTACTGTCACGAATTTATTGGTTCCTGTGTGTTTGTTGTTGCGTTATTATCTGCCTTTGAGTCGGCTATATCCTTGCCCTGTATTTTCAGTAGTATCTTACTTT